GCGCGGTATCATGGCGACGCCGACAACGGCAGGCACGATGATGATAAAGCTGGTGACGATGATGGCGGCACGGAACTATAGTATCACATGGCGGTATTTGACAGGGATGGTGCCCCGCGAGGGGTTCGAGCGTCCAGAATGTCTCAATATGGCTCCAGAAATGCCTCAGACAGCCCAAAATGGCCTCCAAGATGGCTCAAGATAACCGAAGATGGCACGACATAGCTTCCGACATATCTTCATGAGGCTCCAAGACGGCCCCCAAACAGTTTGAAGTGCGCCGCCAAAGAAAGCCGCCAGTGATCACTCATGTGCTTTCAGCCCCCTCGCAGTTTCGCTTCCGATGGGCTCTTGCGGCCTCAAGATGGCCCCAAGACGGCCCAGCAGAATACCAAGAGGGGCCCCAAAGGGACACAATAAGGCCCCACAGGCGCCCAAGAACGCCCCAAGAGTACCCGAAAACGGCACCAAAACGCCATTGTTGAGCCTCCGAAGGGGGGGGGGAGGGGAGGGGGGGGCGGAATTTAAGACCCCCCTCTTTTTGGAAGAGTGGGGCCCAAAATTGCCCCAAGAGGCTTGCCAGACCCCCTCAAAGACTTCAAAGAAGGCCTCGAGACTCCCCAAAAGAATCCCAAGAACGCCCCAAGAGTGCCACACGTGGCTCCGCGAGGACCCCAAGAGAAGCCTCCGTGAAAACAATTCCCAAGCGGTTCTTACACTGGGTACTTATGCATATCCCTGATCACCGCAACTTGCCTGACGATCTGTTGCTGGAATGGCTGGTGGGGATATTTTTTTGGTCGGCGTCTCCGAAGCGGCGGACAGGGAGCGGAAGGCGTCGTCTGGGCCAGCAGGCGAGGCTAATTAGCTACAACAGGCAACGCACCTGCAGTAATAAGTCGCAAAGACTGACTGGTGGGGATACGCGAAGTGTCAAGACTGGAGAACTTTTGATAAACGAATGTGCGCGCATTGCATTCTTTTAGCAAGAAAGCAAGGGGGGGCGAGACCGGATTGGCTGGGACGAAATCCGCCGATCCGGCGTGTGAGTTTCTGAGAGCGTGGACTTGAGCTCGCTCAAGCTTCTCTTTGCAAGGGGGGAGAACGCCATTCCCGACGCCTTTCAATGCTCGGGAGCCAGGCGGGGAGTTCGCTCTGCAGTGGTGTGGGGGGGGCGCCATTCCCGACCCCATTCAGTGCTCGGGGGCCAGAGGGGGAGTTCGCTCTGCAAGGGGGTGGGCGCCATTCCCGAAGCCATTCAGTGTTCGGGAGCCGCGGGGGAGTCCGCTCTGCAGGGGGGGGGGGGACGTCATTCCCGACACCATTCTGTGCTCGGAAGTCGGGGGGGGTTCGTTCTGCAAGGGAGGGGAGACAGACGCCATTCCCGACGCCATTCAGTGCTCGGGAGCTGGGGGGGGAGTTCGCTCTGCGAGGGTGGGGGACGCCATTCCCGACGCCATTCAGTGCTCGGGAGGCGTGGACTTAAGCGCTCTGCAGAGAGCGGGGGAGTGGTTCGCAACCGATTTCCACATTCTCATCTTATGAGGATGTCTCGAACGAGAGCTGTATCTTCAGCATACACGGTCATCCATTCCCATCAGCATCGGGAACGCCCCGGATCGGCGGCACTGGCCGGAGGCCACTACAGTAAATTCATATTTAGAATGAACGGCTGGGCAGAATCGCACGTAAATTACACATCCCCAGGGGGGCGGATAATTCTGGCCTCGGGGGGTGGTAGACCCTGATTCTTTTCAGAGAAGAGAATCTATGTGCACGATCTATGTTGTGCCGTATACGTTGTGCAGTCTATAACATGCAATCTATGTGATGCGATCCATGCAGTGCAATATGCCTGGTGCAATCTATTCGGTGCTATCTGCGTGGGTCACTCTATGTGGTGCAACCGATGTCGTGCAATCAATCGATGTGGACGGCACCGAGGCGGCGACGGGGCGGCGACGGCGACTACGTAGCTGCCAGGCCGACAGACAGGCCCGGAACGGGGCGGCGGCAGAAATGACATAGCCGCCAGCCAGGCCCAGACGACGGGCGGCGACAAGGCGGCGACGGGGCGGCGGGGCGGCGACGGCGACTACATAGCCGCCACGCCGACCGACAGGCCCAGACGACCGACGGGCGGCGACAAGGCGGCAGCGGGGGGGGGCGACGGCGACTACATAGCCGCCAGGCCGACCGACAGGCCCAGACGACGGGCGGCGACAAGGAGGCGACGTCGGCAACATAGCCACCAGAACGGCAAACAGCCTCATTTCCTGAGATCCGAAAAAAAATCCAGAAGCAAACGCGGCTTCGAAAACAATGGAAAAAGCCGGCACGGCCGAACCACCCCCTGTCGCAACGGCCGCCTTCCGCGACAGCCCCGACGCTTCACCCAAAGATGTGCGGGGAGAAAGTTTCGCAGGGTGAGCAGGAGAGAGGGGAGGGAGGGGGGAGGTTCCGATACTCTTTGGCCGAAGGGACGAGGTCCCAATGGAAACCGATATTGGATCCCTGGGCCTTCCCAGGGACTACCTCTTCATCTTAACCCCAAATCCCCGACGTCGTGCATGTTCCACACAATCCGGATCCCAAACGGTCTCGACCCTTCCCACGGGGCCAGGTTTGCATGCAGAGTCGTTTTTGAATGTCCCGGGACCCAGAAAGCCCCACAGAGGTCGAGACGTTTCGTAACACCATGCGTCGAGATGCTCCACATCTCGAGACGCCTTGAACTGACTTGTGCGACAAGCCCCATGGAGCCTGATTTCCCATGGGCCGACCTTGAGAAATCGGCCCCTGGATCTCTCTAAGGTCTAAGGGCGCGTTTGCACAAAGACTCCTTTTCGAGGGTAGTCCAGCCGTGGCAAACAGAAGCCGTTCCCACGATTCAAAGAAAACAGGGAGGCAACAAAAACCCGGTTGCCGTGTGGAAGACGCTCTTCTGTCGTCGTCGTGCCTTCTACGTCGTCTCCTCGTTGTCTCCGTCGTCGTTTCCGTCTCCGTCGTCTCCTCGTCGTCTCCGTCAATCCTCGTCCCCGTCGTCCCCCGTTTCCTGTCCCTGGGCCCTCCTCCTCCCTGAGCGCGCCTGTCACAACGACATTGAACAACGTCGTAGCTGAGTCGAAGGGAAACACCTTCCCCCTGATCCCATCCCCGCCCGGGGGGGGGTCCGGGGGGGGTCCCATGGGGTGGGTTCTGCGGGGCGGATCGCCTCCTTGATACACCCAGAAAAATCCCAAGACGCGGCAAGAGTGCCCCAAAAGGCCCCGCATCGCCGAAGTATCGGTCCAAGACGCCAAAGGAGCCTCCAGACGGCTCGCAGGGATGTCAAAACGCCACACACATCGCGATCGTGAAAGACACCCATACCCTTACCTAGGCAGGGTGGCAAAGGGCGGGGGGGCGACACGTCGCAGCCGAAAGCGGCTGCACAAGTGTAGAAGCGACGGCCGATTGAACGTGACAGGACGCTGCCTCCTCCCGGCACCCATTGCTGCCGAGTGCACGTGCATTCGAATCGGCGGAATAGCCGACTCTGCGTTGATCGCTGTCGAACCAGACCAATTCGTTCGGGGGTGCGCCTACAGGGGAACATTTTCAAACGTTGGGGGGTCGACGCAGTCGGCGGCGAATGCGAGAAATCATGCCGCTACTGCCAGCGCGGGGCAATCAGGACATCATCATTGCTCGAAGCAGAGGCACAGCGGCCCCGAAGCCTGGGCGCGGTCACCAGAGACGTCCCCCCTCGAAAACACGCCTGGAATCACCCCACCTAGGTCCGGCATGTGCTGGGGGGTACCGCGTCGACGCCGCGTCAACGGCACCCCCAGGAGCAGACCCGTACCTAGGCGAGGTGGTGTTTGGTCGAAATCGCTCTCGGGCGTATGTTTTGCCCCGTACAGCCCCCCCCAGCGCGGCCGCTGCGGCCCCCCTGGGAGCGCGAGATTGCAACGTCGCTCCTGCGGGCAAGCTCAGTCATAGTGGTCGCCAGGATAGGGGGGGATCTTCTCTTTTGTTCAAACGGGGCAGGCGCCGCCACTCAGACGCGACCTTCAACCGCGCTCGCACCCCCGTGTCCCCAGACGCCCTTCACAAAATCAGCACGTGTTGCTGCAGCCAAACAAACCAGCCATTGAACGCGTCGATGCACCCTGACGCCCGGATGCTGAACCAGCGCGCGCGCGGCAAGCTGATCGGAAACAGCGGCAAGCGCTCAAACCCGCGGGCGGCCCTTGCCACCCTGGCTGGCCCCGGGTAGGGGTGTGTTTAGGACCAATGAAAGAGGCCTCCAAATGCACTCCAAAGGGGGCCCCCAAGGGGCAAATTCACCAATCTCCCTCAAGTGTTTCAACGATTTTTGCGACCTCGCCTGGTCGGCTTCCCGACGCTCCAAGGCAGCCCAAGAGGCCCCCAAGATCGCCCAAGAGGCCTCCAAGAGGGCCCCAAAACGACCCAAGAACGCCCCAAGACCGCCAAATAGGCCTCCAAGACAACCCAAGAGGCCCCCAAGACTGCTCCAAGAGGGGAGCACAGACTGAGGACCCGAACGGACATTTCGAGCCCTCGGCCTGAGAGGAGGCTCCCATGGGGCCCCGAAGGGCCCCCAAGAAGCCCCCCCAAGAGGCCTCAAGAGGCCCCCAAGAGACCCCCAGGAAGCCCCAAGAGGCCCCCACGAGGCTCCCAAGATGCCCCACAGAGCCTCCCAAGAGGCCCTAAAGGTACCCTCAAGAGGCCCCCGAGGTCGCTCGTCGTCATCGTCGTCGTCGTCTTCGCCGCCGCCGCCGCCGGTGTCGTCGTCGTGGTCGTCGCCGTCGGTGTTGGCGTCGTCGTCGTCGTTGTCGTCGTCGTGGTCGTCGTCGTCTTTCACGGTCGGTTGCACCAGCCGTCCAGTATCACCCCTCGATCCAATGTCCCCTCGATCCAATATCACCCCTCGATCCTCGCGCTTGAGAGGGGGGAATCGCCAATCCTCTGGTCGCTTCTGGGCACCCGGGGGCCTCCACCTCCACGTCCACGAATCCAGCGGCGGCCACCTTGGGAGCAAGCCCCCGAATACCGCCAATCCGATCCCCCTTGACTCCTCAATCGTGCGGATGCCTGACGGGCCCCCATCTCCTCCTACCGCCCCTCCCTCCACCCATGAAGGCGGTGTAATCTGCCAAGATCCTCCACCCCTCCCCCTCGCGCCGTGCCAAGAAACAAAAACACAACAGGAAAATGTGATCAACGCTTCCTGCATCTGAATCATGTTTCCCGGTCAGAGGACAGTCGGTAAAATATCACTGACTAACAGCTGGCTGGGGGGCAACTCGGGGGGCCTCCAGACATACTACGCGGCACCCAGACTTCGCGCTCCCCGCTGCGCCAGGCGCGGGCATCTTCGCGGTCGCTCTCGACCGGATGGACAGGCCATTGTCTGGCCTAGACCATCGTGCGCGCGATCATCTTCGCGCCATTGTGGGTGACCTGGAGACCCCTCACTTCGTGGAGGTGAGTCGCCCAGAGGAACGCGTCCGCAGCAGTCAGACCATGCAATCCGATACATGAGGTACAGAGAGGGCAGATCCACAGACAAAATCCACAGCAAGAAATCCAACCCCGAAATCCGCCGAGGTTTCTTTGTGCAGGGTTGGGTTTCTTGCACTTCGGCTGCAAACGGAGCAACCCAGGGAACCTTATTTCGGCTGTCCAGGGTTGGGTTCCTGCACTTCGGCTGGCGTCAAGCAATTTGATGTCAAGAATCCCAAGGCGATCGACAATGCGAGCTTCGGGCCCATGTGACTCAGTCCTACGAAAGACTGGCGAACCCCCGCGAATGGATGGGCAACGCAGGACGAACAACCCGAGGGGCGGGCGAAATAAACCCGAAGTACCCCGAAGGCCCGGAAGTTTCTTGGAGGTTCGGGGGCACGCCCCGAAACTGACCGACGCCCGAGAAACCCAGGGTGCACTGAAATTTGCAGTTTCTTCGACATTGCAGCAACCTTCCGCGCGGAACGCAAGCCAAAGAAACCCAGGGAACCCTGGCGAAACACAGGGTGTTTCTTGTCATGTGCCCCCACTGTAGGAGGGGTTCGGCGAAGACGGGCTTGAGGCTGCCACCGAGAAAAGAAAAAACAGCAGGACAATAAACTCGATCCTCATCCTCTGGTTATGAAAGCGCTGTCAGTAGATGAGGTAAATACGATACACCAAAATTGCACATTGAGATGTGGGCGCCAAAACCCTGTTACCTTCTCCTGGGGATCGCTTTTTCGTCCCGGTCGGTCTGCGATCTTCCCGGGAGCCCGAACCCTGCCCGCGGAGGCTGGCAAGTGCAGAACACCGATGCCCTGACGTTTCCGAGTCTCCAAGTCGAGTCGAGAACCCATCGGTGCCACGCGCAGGCATCGGCAACCATCGCCGAACCGATCGGAGCCCGTCGCCCTCCGCCCCCCTCCGCCCGTGCCCACGCAGCGAGGCGAGGGCTGGACCCCAGACCTCCACGCTGCCAGCCGAAGCCTCAGGACGTTTCTGCTGTGCGCGCCGTGCTCGGCCTCCCAGGGGCCGCGACCGTCAGACGGACACGACACTGGACGACGCAGCGGCACGGGGGCGACGGGCCTCCCCTGCTCGGGGGCGCGGGGCCGAGACCAGCTCTTGAAACAGATTCGGTGACCTTCGCTTTCCCAAGGCGCCCGTTCCGTCCGACCCGGTGTTCGTCCTGCCCGAGGCTTCGTTGCAAGGCCCCCGGGGGCCCGGCAGGGGCCTCCTGAGGCCGCTAGTTGCGAGACGGGCGCGGCCCCACCGCAAGATCTTCACGATGCGATGCCGAGGGGGTCCGGGCCCAGGCCGGCGGTCGTGCGGCCGCGGGGGCCTCGGGGGCCGCGCCCCTGGCCCTTGGGCGCAAATGTGGAGGGGCGACCAAAGGAGGGGGGAGAAAGGTGCCCTTTCTGGGCCCCCTCTGGGGCCCCACAGGGCTCCCTTAGGGGCCCTGAAGGGCCTCCCCCCCCGTTCATCGCCCCCCCCATTACGCGTCCTCCGGGGCCACCAGCGACTCGAGCTCCCTGGGCTCGAAGAAGCGGAACACGACGTCCGGCAGGGGCCTCAGGAAGGTCGTCGCGTAGAGGCGGCCGCCGGGCCTCGGAGTCGAGGGCCTCCTCCCTCCCCTCCACCCCCTACCCCAAAAAAGGCCCAGGCGCACACAACTAAATAGACACAGATCCCAGGACTCCCCATTTGTTATTACATGTTCTGGATATTTGTCTTTCCCCCAACTTCCCATGTGTCCCCATAGTTTCCTGGGGATCGACGGTTCGATGTTGTCTTCTGCGTGTTGTTGTTCCCTCCTGACCTCCCTCCTCTTCCTGATCGCTTTCTCCACAGAACCCCTCCCGTCGTGACACAAACCAACACGAACGACTCTTGAGCCCCATCCGGCCTCACAAGGACCCCGTCAGAAAACGGCATCGGATGCGGAGCCGTTTCTGGGGAGGCGGTCGAGATTCCTGGGGTGTCCAAGTTGCGGCAGAAAAAAACGTCGGGGGTCTGGGTCCTGGCTCGTAGAGTCGGGCCGCTGACCTAAGGAACGATAAACAAGGAAGGAGGCCGCTTTTCTACGAAGTAGGTCCAGGACGTCCGAAGTAACACCAGGGGGGCTCGCCGCCAAAGAAGGAACGCATGTAACACTAAGGAACGGCCGAGCCCCTTCTGAAAAGCACGTGTTCTGTACTCGCTCTTCCTCCACCTCCTCCGCCCTCCAGCGTCAGGGGTGTCGGTCCTGGCTCCTACTTTCTCGTCCTCTGCCTCCTCCGGCCCCTCCCTCCTCTGAAATCCGACGCTGCGAAACAACTTGCAACATCGCAGACAGATCACGACTGGAGCCCCAACCCCCATCTGCCTGCTTCATTCTTCGAGCCGGATCGGTCTGTGAGGGTCCTGGGGCCCGAAGCCTTGCAAAATCACGCTTCATGACAAAAGATGCGACGCCAGGGTCTCAGGGCTCGTCCTCTGCCTCCCCCGCCCTCCACTCTCCCTCTGCTCCTGGCGCACAGAAAGGTACAACTGACGACACTTCCTGGACCTCTGCCAGGGCGCGCCCCGACAAGGAAGCCGAGGCGAATCCGGAGTGCGCGAAACTATGGAAAGCTGGATATACTAAGCCTACCAGTTCTCTGGGTACAGGTGATTTACGGAGCGTCTTCTTCGGACACTCTCTACTCCTTCGAGGAGGGGTCTGGCACTGCTGCAAAGTCCATATGTGTAAGAAACCCATCCTCCACTCGACTGGCGACCGACCAAGAACAATCCCAAACCCCCTCATTACCCTTGTCAAAGACAGTACCAAAGGCACGTTGCGGCAAAGTCTAAATCATAGCCAGGCGCTCCGCGCTAGGACTGGAGGGGGGGTCAACTTCAAAAACTTCAAGATAGGCCAACGTGGCTCTGAGACAGCCCCAGATCTGATAGCCTCCGAGATACTATAAGATAGGTCAAGCTGGCTCCAGATGTAGCCTCCATCATGACACTAAGAGGCTCCAAGACCGCCCCAAAACGGCTCCGACTGGCCATGGAGCTTCTCAAAGACGACCCCCAGAGGCCAACCTCCTTCAAACACCAACAGAACATGTATGATCTGGAATCGAGGGTTCACAGGCCCCTCCCCCCACCCAGATGGGATGGCCCCTAGGGTTCCACTGCCCCGCCCCCCAGATGGGGTGGGGGGAGGGGGGGCGACGACGACGACGACGACGACAACGACGACGACGACGACGACAACAACGACAACGACGACGACATCGCCGCCGCCGCCGCCGAGGCCGACGTCGTCGGAAGACGACGGCGACGTCGACGACGACAACGACTACGACGACACTGGCGAAGACGACGACGACGAGGACGACGACGATGTCCACCTTCCACCACGCCACGCCCACAAGGCCACGACCATAGGGGAAGGGGCAACGATCCCATTCGCGAGTCTCTGCAACCTTGGTCTCGGAAAGCTCTCGGCGAAAGCAGCGGAACGTCTACCCTCCACCACGCCAAGCCCACATGGCCACGACCACTGGTGGGTGAGCGATCCCATTCGCGAGGCCCTCGTGAGGCTCACATGTGCGTTGGGGTGGGGTTGCGGGGAAAAGGCATGGATCATTTGTTTCGTTGCCTTATCACTGCCGCCCTCTTCATTGACACTTGTCCTCCCAAGAGGGCCCCACGAGTGCCTCCAGGGCCCCCAAATGGCCCCCAGGATGGGCTGGCGGGCATCGTTTCTGGACAAGCTGGTGGGGACGCGCGAAGCGTTAGGAATCTCCTCCCGAGGTCCGGATGTGTAAACCGATCCACCTCCGACCTCCTGCCGTCTCGCCTGAGGCACCGCCAGACGCTCCGCAGGGCCGCGCCCGCGTCGGGCACGCAGTGCAGCGCGGCGCCGAAGTGGACGCAGTCCAGGGATCCCGCGCGGAAGGGTAGCGCCTGCGTGTCCGCCCGCAGGAAGCGCAGCCCGTCCAGGGCCCCCTCTCGGCGGGCGGTGCGCACGGCCTCCTCGAGCATGGCGCCCGAGTAGTCCGAGGCGAAAACGCGGGCGAACGCCCCGCTCGCCGCCAGCCGCCTCGCCATCCACCCCGTGCCGCAGCTCACGTCCGCGGCCACCGCAGCGGGGCCGAGGGCGGCCTCGCGGAAGAACGCCATCGCCTGCTCGAACTCGGCGTCCACGCCGCCGCGGTCCCGCAGCCCCGCGGCCCACAGTGGGGGCAGCACGCGCTCGTAGAAGAAGGGGATCACCTGCGCCGAAAGGTGCCCATACACCGCCTCCACAATGCCTGGCCCGGGCCATCCTGGGCGCCCAGGCATCTGGTATGCTGTATACGCCCTCCTACCCGAGGCCAAGAGGCTCTGCACACCACGGGCTCAGGGCCCAGGATGGCCCTGGCAAGGCCTGGCGGTGGTCTCTAGTGCCCTCTGCGGATGACCGGGGACAAGAACATGTCCTGGCGCAGGGGCCCGCCGCCCTCGCTACCGCCTGGACGTCGGTCGACCATCTCGGCCACCACTGCGGCCCGGGGGCCCCCCGCAAGGCCGCCGCCGCCGCTGTACCACGCGCCTCGCGCTTCCTCCTGCCAGCGGGGCTCGAAACAGCTCGCGAGGTCTGGGGCGTCCCCCGCAGGCGCCCAACCAGCCACCGCAGCGCACGGTGGGGACGGTAAGCGGGCGCTCCCCCGGAGCGGCGGCGCCGCGGGGGTGAGCGCCGGCCTGGCCGCAGCGGCGGCGAGCAGCGAGGCGCACGCAGCAGTCAGCGCCGCCTGGCGCCGCCTGGCAACTCGCGGCGCGGCCAAAGCCGCCGCGCCGCCACGGCCCAGCATCGCTTGCGGGCCGCGGGTGGCGGCGTCGGCCCCAGGCCGAGGCATCGGAACGCCTTCGGCCGCGGCTCCAGCCGCCGGGCCGCAGCTGGCCAGCACCGCCCGCTGCCCGCAGCGGGCGGCGGCGTGGGCACCGGGCCGAGGAATCGGGACGCCTGGGCCCAAGGCGAGCAGCGGCGGCCCTGGCTTGGGGGCCTCGGCTTCGGGGGCGGCTCGGGGGCTCGGCGAGCGGCGCGGGTGCCTGGAGCGGCCTGAGCCGAAACGGCTGCCGGGAGGAGGAGGAGGCCCTTGGCCGAGGCATCGGCGCCCCTCGGTGCCACAGAAGCGTCCCTGGCGCAGGGGATCCCCAGTGTCTCCCGAGGCCCAAATGGCTTCGAGAGCACCTTCCCCCTGAGATCCGACGTTGCAGGGGTCAAGTCCGGTAGAGCCTTGCACCAGACGGTGAGTGATCAGAAGAAAAGTGAAGAACACTCAAATGCCTTCAGCATCGTGTCCGGCTTCTGACAACAAGCTCCCGCCCGCGTGCTGCACCGCCCCCTGGGCGGAAGTGATCAGCGAGACTGCACCATCGCAAACAGATCACGACCAGAGCCTGGAGACCTGGACCCCGTCTGCCTGCGTCATTTTTCGGGCCCGATCGCCCGAAATCTTGCGAAGTCGCCGGCTGTGACACATCGCGACGCCAGGATCTCAGGGAGGGGGGGATCCAAGGAGCCCCAAAAGGGCGCGACAAGCTCGGGGGCCCCTTGGGCACCCGGATCAGAGCCGAGGCATCGGGGCCCCCTTCGGCCTCGGGCGCTGCCGGAGGCGATCTCCTGCCCGAGGTTGCCGCCCCGCTTGCCGCGACGACGCGGAGCTCACTGCGGCCCGCTGGGCCTCGTGAGCCCAACCGTGCTCGCGTCGTAAAACCATCAAGGACGGAAGGTCGTTCGCCGCTTTGGCCGTCAAAAACGACTCAGCCCATTGAAAGGGCCGGGACTTCCGGGGACCGCATATTGAACAAATCAGGACGTCGCGTGCTTTAGAAGGAGTTCCCGAATGCCACCTCAGGGCACCCTGGAAGAGCTGGGACACTCGTGCGAACCTCCGACAGTTGGTGGAGGCGACAGCAACTCAGGGGGTTGCATGCGCGAGGGGAAGATGGTCCTAGACTTCGATGGTGTTGGTGATGTCGGCCACCTAGAAGCCCGAATATTACCAGAACCGCCGAGATTGGGATCATCTTGCCTCGGTGGAGGCAACCGCCGATGTGATTGGTGCTGGTGCCAACCTAGAGGCCTCCGAAACTGATGCTTATGTTTGAGCAGGGACCGACCGTCCCGGCATTCCTATAAGCCTACCACGCAATTCTCTCAGAACCCAAGGATTCTCTAATAACAGAAACAATGTTCTTGGAGCATTCGCCCGATGCACAGAAACAAGACCGCCTCAGCCAGACATGTTCTAGGAGCATCTCGTGCAGACCACAAAAGGTTATCATAACATGATTTGGTGGGCCTATAGGCAAGCCAAGACGCCGCGCCAATGCTCGACTGCTCGAGACAAGCTGGGGATGGGCCATGGCTACCTCTGGCAACGCCCGGCGGCCGCAGGCCGAAGGCGCGGCGCCGACGTCAACAGCCGCCACCTTGCCCCCTGGCACGCTGAAGCGCGGCAGAATGCCGAGTGCCCGCCTGGTTTCCGTAAGCCTGCTAAGGGCCGCGAGACTCCTCAGAGGAGGTCCGAACAGATGGGGTCGGAGGATCGCGCCGCAACGGCAACGCATCGGCGATGCATCGGCAATGCATCGGCGATGCATCGGCGACGTCGGAGACGCATCGGCGACGTCGGCGTGGCGAACAACGGGCTCCGCATCGAGCTGCATAGCCGATGTATCGGCGGTGCGGCGCGACCCCTCGACCCCATCTACTCGGACCCCCTCTGGGAGGCCGAGACCCCTCCCCCCTTCTCACCACACTTACCCGGGGCCTCGGGCCATCGCTCCCGACGTTTTCTTGGCGTCCCTGAGGTTCTCTCAGGCACTCCGAGACTTCCAAGACGGCCCAGGAAGGCCACCGAGGCCCCCCCTAATCACTAAAACGCTGTCCAGGATGCCCTCGAGATGCCCGACACATGGCTTCCCCATTAGGTTTTCGATATGTTCGCTGTCCACGCTCTTCGGTCGAAGATCGGTCCACTCGTGGTCTCCGAAACCCAAAGGAGTCCACTGAGTGCCCTCAAAGCCCGCTAAACGGCCGCTAGACGTCTACAAGAGAGCCCAAAGGCTGGCCTGAGAGGGCTTCCAGAGGGTCTCAAGATGGCCTAGGCCCCTGGAGGGCCCAAGAATATCCCAAGAGGGGCCCAAGAGAACTGCTTGTGAACCAGCTGGCCGCACGCCTTGTAAATTGTGAGCGGGAAGTCAGAGGACACTTTGCGAAGAAGAGCAAAGAGCACGTGCGCCCACGGCGAGTGGAGAAAAGACCATGGAATGCGCCTCTCCCAGCACCACTGGATCACGTCTGGCATGGAGGCCAAACACATGTTTTTCCTCGAAGAACGCGCCCAAGGCCTGACCCGCTTCCACCGCATATGCATGAATCCTGGCAGGGAAAAGTGTAGATTGGCATGGGAACGGAGCCTGGGCCAGACTCCGATGCGGCGACGGGCGCGACAAAGGCGCCCCCTGGCGCGAGGACAGGAAGGGAGAGAAGAAGAGACGAGGCGAGGAAAGAGAATCATTGGGCAAGGAAAAAGAGCGAAGCGGAAACGGAACAGGGAGAGACGGCCAGGACGAGAGGGACGCAGAGACAAGGAGTTGAGAAGAAGGGGGGACGGGGGCGGGCGACGGGGCATGGTGGGGGCATACGAACTGGGGGGGCGTGCCAAGGACGCTGTTCCTGGAAGAACGCGCCCAAGGCCTGATCCGCTTCCACCGCATATGCAGACATCCGGGCAGGGAAAGTGTGAAGGGGCGGGGTGGGGGCAGACGAACTGGGGTTCTGGCGAATGACGCCGTCTCCAAGCATGCAGTGGCGGGCAGTCCAGCGCAGCTGTCTTGCAATGGAAAAGGCGGCTCATCCTCTCTCCCTCCTCTTCCTCCTCCTCCTCCCTCCTCCTCCTCCCACCCTCCTCCTTCTTCCTCCCCCTCCTCCCCTCCCTCCTCCTCCTCCTCTCCCTCCTCCTCCTCTCCTCCTCCCTCTTCCTCCTCCTCCTCCTCCTCCTCCTCCTCCTCCTCCTCCTCCTCCTTCTCCTCCTCCTCCTCCTCCTCCTCCTCCTCCTCCTCCTCCGCCTCCTCCTCCTCCTCTCCTCCTCCTCCTTCTCCTCCCAGTCTCCCTCCTCCTCCTCCCTCCTCCTCCTCCTCCTCCTCTCTCTTCCTCTCCTCTCTCCCTCCTTTGTCCTCCCCCTCCTTTGTCCTCCTCCTACTCCTTCTCCCCCTCCTCCCCGTCCTCCTTCTCCCCTTCCTCCTCCTCCTCCTCCTCCTCCTCCTCCTTCTCCCCGTCCTCCTCCTCCTCCTCCCCCTCCTCTCTTCCTCTCCTCCTCTCTCCCTCCTCATGCTCCTCCTTCTCCTCTTCGCCACCCCCATCCCTCCTCAAAGGGGAGCCTCAGGGAGGCCCGAAGACAGCCGCGCGATTGGCCCGAGAGGGCTCAGCGGCGGGGCCCCCTGCGCGGGCCACCTCCGCACCCGCCGAGGCTCCAGGAAACTTACCCGATGACGTACGGCAGGTTCGTGTCGTGCCGACCCCAGCGTTGGTTTTTGACACCGCAGGGATCGTTCAACCTTGAACGATCGGCCGTTCCCGCAACGTCCAATCGTTCAACATCGACCGATTCTGGGTCGCCCGCGGCGTTCAACCTTGAACGCCCGCGCTGGGGTCGCCGCTGGTCGACACGACGCAAACCTACCGTACCCAACCCTTTCTATGCATGTGGCGGGTATACGCAAGACCACTCAATGCTGACTGGCACTCTGAAGGACCCGCAGTGCGCAAGAAGAGCACCCAGCAGTGATTTCAGAGGGGCGCAGCAAGAAGATGAACGGCACATCTACACGAAGGAAACATGGGGGCGTTGAAAGAAACGCGCCCAACAAGTGAATACAAAAGGGCGCGGCGGCGAGGACAAACAGAACATCAGCTTAACTCAGCAACGCGCTGCGCTGAGCGGGGCGAATGCATGAGGTGCATAACGGGGGTGGAGACTCATCCAGAAGTGGAGACAGACGGGCGCGGCAGAGCAACCCCAAAGAGAGGCACCCAAAAGTGGAATCAAAAGGTCGCGGTCGCGATAATAAGCAGAAGCACACAGCAGTACCTCCGCTGGGCCTCCCAGGAGCACACGAAAGTGGCGACAGTT